GGATTATCGTGCGTCTGTATGAGGCACTGAGCAGTTCTGTGTGGTTTCATTCACGAGCAGCGTGAGAACAGACAGTGCTTCTTCATACGTCTCTTTCTCAATCTATCTTCGTTCATCCTTTTCAGGTTGGAGAAATGGTTCGCCTTGTTTGTATCAGTAGGTTATGTGCTTTAAGTGAAGCAACATTACGTCATTCCGAGCTTCTGTACGTCAAATAAAGAATATTGGATTTGTACGTCTGATGTTCTGGATTTGTACATTTGTTCTATAACAAATGTGTAGTACAGAAGTACTAGATTAACAGTTGCCACTTTGATTCAGGTGTCATGGGGATAATAACCCAAAAGAAGATAGTAATGTATTCTGTTTCCCATGTTTCATCCACACAACATGCTTTGCATGAAATGATCACTCTATTTCTCTCTCTGATATAAGTGGGACTGAACTGGGCATTGATAAGACCTACCCTATAATCACCCAGACCATCGATCCATTTAGAGAATGCACACGGATAACACATATTATCAGATGAATAAAGTTGAAAATATGCATGAATAGTATGACAATTTCACATTGATGAAGATTATGGTTTGAGTTCAACTGCAAATAATGCAAGTCCCAGCTTTTCATATTATTCAATTCAATTAATTTTTATATAGCGCCTTTCACAACAGAGCTGCCCCAAGGCGCTTGACATAGGTGTGCGGTAATACATCAGTACATCATTTATCCAGAGTAATACATGAAACAGCAAAAACGGAAGACAGAAACAAAGAATGAAAGAATGAAAGTCAGAATTGAATGGAGGAGAGGAACCAAAAACTCTCAAGTAGGTAGAAAAAGAAGGCCAACTGGCTACCCAACCCCCCCCCCCCCCCCCCCAGACATGCTAATGATGTAGAATTTTAAGAGTGAATGGGCCTGTTTGCTAAAAGCAAGGTGTTAACTTGGTCATGGTCAAAGCCAAAGTCCCTCAAAGAGTCTGATTGCCATGCCGACCTGTGTGAGTCAGCAGATTGAAGGCTACAACCAACGTTGGATGTTACAGCTACAGTCAAATCCATGATGTCATGATGTACCATCCAGACATGAGGGAAGGATGGCAGAGAAGATGCATAAACACATTAATGCACACGCACAGTAGACCAAATGGGCATCTACAGCAGCACCAGCAGCCATAGTTAGAGTGCGTATGTGGTAAGTTTCAGGTAAGTTAAACTGAAGTAACAGGTCTTCAGTCAAGATTTATAGACTGAAACTGATTAGGCATCGCAAATATAGCAAAATGTTTGATTTGCACGCGAGTCAGAATTACCTAGGTTGCCAGGAATATGATGACCATTTTGCAGTTACTAAAGCTAAAGGTTAAGGGTAAATTATTCATTTTGCTAAAAACATGAACATCAATAGTGTACCAGGCTATTCACATGACATGCTAATATTTGGTAACACACGTGAGTCATGGGAGAGAGTGTCAAGAAGAAAGCGACTGCTGAGTCTCCACAACATCTTTGGAAAAAGGAGATTTTGTGCATAAACAAGTTAAAAAGATGATAGCAGTGTAATTTGGCTGTGTAACATACAACAGACTGGTGCTGTGTACTGTAAACTCTGCTAAACAAGGCAAACTAGGGACAGATGTAACTCATAAGTAAAATGACCAATCAAAAGGAACACAGGTTAACAGACAAGTGGAGTGGATTACGCTTAAATAACACAGAATAAGGAAACTCCAACAAACACTGAATACTATGTGATGCTAAGTTAACAACACTAGGAATAACTAAGAACCAAAGAACATGGAAGCCTAATAAAACAAGACACAAGCAGGATAATCTGAATCAGGGATAAAAAGAAACAGAACCACAAACTAGGAAAACTGAAACCCAAATATTAAACAGAGAAGGCAGTCCACTTGCCAGCCTCAAGCCCATGAGCAGAGGGTATGGCCACCAAGCCTCGCACCCAACTCCCTTAAGCTACAGGGCGACACACTGAGGTTAAGGGGCTACAAGACAGAGGAGGGAACAGGACGGCCAGCAACACCTGCTGGCCAAAGAGGGATCAAACACATAGGACATGAATGGATGGGCACCGGCCCAGAGAGCATAATGATATCATTAATATTAACAGTCTTGGTTTGGGTACGCCAGGCATCTCTGTCTCGACGACTAGCCTCACTCACATGTTAGCTGTCTATGTGACCATGGAATCGCTCATTTCAAGCAGTAACTTTTAAGATTCTCAGCACTGTTAATTTTCTATTCTTAATAATGAATCTAAAACATAGTGCTCCCAGTAATAAAACACAGGGGCATAATTTAGATGATTTGTAAAATATATAAAAAGGTTTGCATAGGAAATGACAAAGCAATTTGACATGCAAAGTATACAGTGCAGTACTGTTTGTTCAGAAATTGGTAATAAATAGACTTATTACGTTGTCATGCAGGCTAGCAGACTGCTATGGGTCGAGGTTAGGGGTGCCCAGGTGTTACTCATGAATTTTCACAATCACAGGGATGTTCCGCCCATAACCCTGAAGAATGTGAAGGGGAACTTTATGCTGAAGGAAGAGAAAAGCAAAACCGCAGAGTGCAGTGTATGTAAGGCCAGTGCGGATTTCTCTGTCTGAACATATGAACATTTATACAAACTAGATGTTTATATATTAAATATATTGCCAAATATTGTGAAAAAGAAATATACAATGCAATACTAAGGCTACAAAAAATGTAATTTATTTAAAATTTCTTTCATATGTAAACTTTGTTTAAAAAATAGAATTCCATATTGTATTTACAATGTAATTGAGATTTCTTTACAGATATACATACATGGTTTGGCTAATTCAATTCAGATTTGGATCTGCCCCAATCCAAAACCATCTCAGCTATAACCAAGACAAAATATACCTGCTTTGCTCTCAAATTAGCCCAAGGTCATCAAGCTTAAATGCAATATAGGCTGTGAAAGACCCAGTACTGATAAAGATAGCAAAGAAGGGCAGCATACTTTGTGAGCGATATCAGGACAGTTCGACTTATGCAAACCTACCCTTTCTGTAATGGATGTAAACAATAAGTACATTGCAAGTCCTCTACTGTGCTGTAGTAAACGGATGCCTTTTACAAGTAAGACTAGTGATAAATGCTAAATCAGAAACATTGCAGTTCAGAAATGCTAAATGTCATAAGACTTATATTCTTTCTAAACTTTGGCTAATTACTATTTAAGATCTGTGCACCATTGCATATTTTATATTGAGACTCATATGTTCTCTTCGCCTAGAAATGGTTAGTTTGGGTATACAGTGATATTTTTATTATTGATTTCTTTATTATATTTAATTTGACAACAGATTGCACAATGTGCACTTTAAGAAATACTTCTGTTCCTTTTCCTGAAGGTTGTAACTGAATAAAAAGTGGTATATAGCTTTAGTTTGGCCAGCGTGCCCATTATGTTTTCCTGTTCTTTGCATACTTAATGCCGCCACAACACTAAATGCAGATAGTTTGCTATGTTAGCTGAAATGTATTGATACAAATAGCTCATTTAATGCTCAGTAGTATAAAAAAAATATCAGATTGGTATTGGTATTGGCAGATTGTAATTGTTTTATTACGAACAAATGTTATACTAGGCACTGTTCCATCTCTTCTACAAACTTATTTTAAAGGCTTACAAACTTATTTTAATATTTGCCCTCCAGTAGAACATACAAAATGCAAGCACTTACAGCCATAGAAACCAGGGTCCTCTCTTTCGATCCAAAGAAATACCAGAGAAAAAAAACCGTATGACAAAAACAATATTTTATTATGATTTATTTAACAAAATTAGATTTTAGTTTGCAGTCCATTCAGCTTGTCATCTTTTTACATGTTCTGAACCTAAGAATAAACCTATGGAATTTTTAAGTAAAAATGAACCATTGCAGTACAGAAATAATAATCTAAATTATATTGTCATAATTATCGATGTCAACTGATGTGAAAAAAATTTCGATTAAATACTTGGCGGTATCCCTCAGCCATAGCATGTGTGTGTCTGCATCTATCAGCAGGGCCGTCTCAGATGGGATAATGGGGTGGGGAGGGACTTATTGTACTGATGTCTGGGGGCCTGTGGAGATCTTAATCCGGCCTGCCCCCTAGGAGTAAGCGGCGACCGTGACCTACAGCCGGTCCCTGGCATAGCAGGCCGGCCTCAGTGACTGATTACGGAAATCCCTGTTTATCACAGCAGTAATGGAGGAGGGTCAATGACACCCAGGTAACTCTCTTACCTTCATTAATAGATATGCTTTCTTCTTCACCTTTGCTCTCTTTCCTTTGCAGAATAGGATCTTTCTGCCTGTAGCACTGAAACGTGAGCTGAAATATTTAATATATGTTGGGGTATGGCCACATGAATCTTCGGTAATTTCATATAATAATTAAGATAATAATAATGAACTTAATATTATAAATTGAGTTATAAAACTTAAAATGGACTATATTTAGAGATAGTTACGTATTTCAGAATTCCAAAATAAAAATATGCATTTTAGCAAATCATGAAATTAACATGCAAGAATAACAATTTCCTGCAGTTACGTGAAAGATCTTGGAAATGTAACCCTATTGCAGTAATCCTCTGCACTGGTGCCGTATTTCTTCCTGAAATTACCCCCATACACAGAAAGCTGGTTGCAATATTTAGTGGCAACAGTAACTGAATAAATAGTTTATTTCTTCATGGTATAATTGCTAAAAAAAACAGCCATGTCGAAGTAAAGTTTACTAACATAACTGCAAAAAAATAAAAGATCTATTCTCTGGTGAAGGATGTAATGCCTGATTTATACTAATATCCTATATGCTGCATAAATGACCATTTGTATATAACAAAATATGAAATGTATTTTCAAATATTGTGAAAAAGAGACATACAATGCAATAAAAGGTTTACAAAAAATATAATTTATTTAAAATATAAACATATATAAACTTTGCTTAAAAAATAGAATTCTATATTGTATTTACAATGTAATCCAGATTGCTATACAGATATACATACATGGTTTGGCTAATTCAATTCAGATTAAGATCTGCCTCTGTCCGGTACCGAGACAAAATAAACCTGCTTTGCTCTCAAATTAGCCCAAGGTCGTCTAGCACTCTAGCTTAAATGCAATATAAGTTTTGAAAGACCCAGTGCTGCTAAAGATAGCAAAGAAGGGCAGCATACTTTGTGAGCGATATCAAGACAATTCGACTTATGCAAACCTACCCTTTCTGTAATGGATGTAAACAATAATTACATGACAAGTCCTCTACTGTGCTGTAGTACTGTGCTGTATGCCTTTTACCAGTAGGACTAGTGTTGAATGTTATATCAGAAACACTGCAGTTCGGAAATGTACTTCCTTGTTAAACCTAAGTCAACAAACTCCTATTCAGTTGGGAAGAATTAATTACCCATCCCCAGGTCACCAACATCCCCTCTCATTGCTTGGTCAGGTGGCTTCAGCTACCAGCCTAGGTAATGCTCTGCCAATGCTTTAGCGAATAAAGAGTAAAGGAAATGCTCTGCAAAAGCTCTACCGAGTAAAGAGTAAAGGAAATGCTCTGCCAATGCTCTAGCAAGTACAGAGTAAAGGAAATGCTCTGTCTAACGAGTAAAGAGCATGTCAGTTAGCAGGTCCAGAAGGTCTGTCTGGCCTATGACAGGCCGGAAGAAGAGCTCTGTAAGCAGGTCTGCCGTTATGGTCTTGAGGGCAGAGGCTGTGAGAAGGACGCGGGCGAATCGGCCGCGATCCCCCGGGTGTAGGGGTAACAGCACTTCCCTCAAAGCTCGCTGAGCTTCATTCTGCAGGCTCTCGATGAAAGCCGCAGCCTTTAGCTCTGGAACGTCTAGACACAACAAAAAGGAAAAAAAATCACATATGGTATACTCATCAGTATATTTCATGATTTTTAGCAGAATCACTTGAGGAATTGTGGGAAACTCCAAAGGAAATTTAAGCTAATTACAGTCTCTTTCCTTGTGGTGCTACATAAAACTTGCCTTTGAAGGCTCATTTTTTTCTATTATGCACAATATCCAGTTTTAACATATAAGGCATGTTAACTGCCATGAGCTTTGAAATGAAAAACCAGCCTTTCGCTAGTGATTTAGCTCAGCTTCTGCTAACAGAGGACCCTTTGTGCACCCTGTTAGCTGTTACTAAGGGACTGTCCTTGAAATTTGCTGCCAGAAGTGAGAACACAGGGCTTAAATATTGCTACACAACCCTTCCCCATAGTTTTACTATTAGCAGCAGCTGAGCATAATTTTTGAGTTTCGATATTAAACACATAAGGTCCATCTGCAATTGTATGATGTCACATTCACACAGCGTCCTAGACTATAGTCTTACATAAACTTGAGCATATGAAAATGAGCATATTAACTTTTAATAAAATGAAAATAAACAGCAAGTTTGAAGTTATAAAACAAATATGCAATATTCAAAGTATCTGAAAAATGAAGGCACTAAATCAGAAGGATTACACAATGAAGTCTTCTTACCTGGGTTAAACAGCATGGTGCCTTTGAGATATGCGTACTCCTTGGGGCTGAGATCGAGGCTCCAGAACTTGTTGAGGCACATCTTCAGTTTGTGAACCCCCGCCATGGTGGGCTGCGCCCTCTCCACGTCCGCGGGGCCACGCGGCCGCTGGCCATTCAGCAGGATGCGCTTCAGCATGCTGACAGCCGGCGTGTCAGTGACCTCGAAGTTCACCCCTTCCTGCGCCAGGCCCAGGACGAAAAGCGGAACCCAGCAGCCTTTGAGGAGCGACAGCTGGTCCTTGGCTGGGAGCTGCTGGAAGGAGGGCAGGCTCTTCATGAAGTGAATGGTCTTGACCAGCACGCCCGAAGCCAGCTGACAGGTCTCTGCGGGACTTTCCAGGCACACCGTCCGCTGCGGCTCACAGTGACAGCCGTGTGCTGCCCAACCGTAGTTCAAGCTGTTACGGCTCATTGAGCGATTGGTATTTTGACGGCTGAGGATATTGAAGAGAATGGCATTTGGCTGCCTGACCTTTTCAATGGAACAGTGGTCCCCACTATTCATCTCGTAAAGATATATTACGATTCAGTCCAGTTTTAGCTGTGTTTTGACTCTCCTGGCCGGAGCTCGGGTAGACGCCAGATTCTACTGTTGGTAATGCCTTGGCTAACACTGGTCTATTTATAGAGGCAACGCTGAGTCAGCCTTGACCTGCATTGCTAAACATCATTCCCTCGCTGAAAAACAACTCGGCCCTGGATTGCTTGACTAGGCTGGTCCACTTGAGGAGATAAGGTTTTCTCAATGGGACTCTCAGAAGTAACGGGTTGCCGGAGGGAAAGGCGGCGGCGGTGGGGGGTTTTCTGGGTAAATTACATTCACCCGGTTTATCTCTGTCATTAACGCCACCTGTACCAAGCTACCAAGGACTGTGCAGGTAATCAGGCAGGCAGTATATAGCCCTAATTACTGCCAGCTCACAATAAATTGGAAGCTGGCCAAAGTAAACAGGCAATGTCTGAAGTGACTATAGAGTGAGCCTTCAGATATATGGATGGCCAAGTTTTTATTTTGGATACGAGTCCTTTTCACTCATATGACTCTTACTTTTTCTATCAGCTAGCTTAAGTGGTATAAAAAATTCCATTTAAGTTCTCAGTAAAATTATGCTGCAGTAAACAGAATTATAGATGAAGATTTGCAGAGGTTTACCTGGTCAGTATATTTGTAACTTTTAACTGATGCCGGTAACTGCTTCAATTCCTATTTTTCTGAATAGTATCATAGAGAAAGTTAGTCCAACTTATACACACACTTGAACTGGGGAATTTGAAGATGTCTGTCAAGCAATGTTTAGGAACAAAAGATAGATTTTCAGAACAGCAAAACAGAACATCCTGAATGAGAGGTTTATTCAGAGCTGCACTTGTCAGGTTTGAGGTGCAACCCAGGAGGCTATTGATGGCCACGCCTGCTTTCTGTGGGCAGTGTTTATGAAGAAGGAGATGAATGCTTTCACTTTATTCTACCTGAATTACAAGGAACCTTAAATAAACCTGACGCGGATGCGGCAAGAAATTGAAAACATTCCAATGCATAAGAACAATGCGTCACCTGAATAAGAAAAGCTGAGCACCTGTGTGTTTTTCCTAAAATATTATCATAAATTGTTTGTAGGCCAGCAGTTTGGTTACATAACTACAACAAACGAATGCCAGAAGGACCCTTAGCGACTTTATTTCTATGTCTATTTTTAAGCTGTTTCAGAAGCCAAGAACTTCACTGAAGTAAAGAGATACTGCCAGTCTCCTCCAGAGGCACAAACTTCATGTCCTGTTTTTCAACCATGGCACACAGCCAGTGTGACTGATGAGATCTTTATACAATATAATTGCCTGTATTTTTATGACTTATTGATACTGGACCATTCGGGGCATTTTTACTTTTCATTCATCTTAAGATTTCTGCTGGACGTATTAATAGTGGAAACAGAGTAGAATGTGAAAACTCTATCAAAATGAAACCAAATGATGGATGGACTGTCGTTCATCACAGAAATAAGCTAGTCGAGGGCTGACAACCACAATTCTACAAAACCACAACATGTTGTAAGTTAACCCAGACTAGTTTAACATGATGCACATTTCTAATGTATTTACTCACCAGCTTAATCAAAAGTAACTGATTACAAGCTCAGCTGGAATAAACAAGTAAAATAATATACGAAGTGTTGCTATTATGACCTCTGACCTACAGCAGGCTTATATGAGCTGAACATTTTTTTGTAATTTAGTTGTATATTACTATGATAAATTACGGATTGTGCATTCAGAGATCAAGACAGAATTAAAATCTGTTTTAAAACTTTAGGCTTGACCACAAATTCAAGCTATTCTGTCTTCAAGGTACCCAAAGTGATTGAGTCAACATGACTCCCCATTGACTACATGGAACTGTTTATCATTTGACCTTGAGCCACTTCACACAAACTAAAGTTTCTTTTTAAATATGTATCTTTTATTACAGTGACTAATTTATACCAGCCACATTTGTCAATGATTGAACATCAGTGGGATATCATTATAAATTTTGCTGGGCACACTTAATTAATCCCGCCTTTACTTACTGGGTTTATTTAACCTGTAAAATAAACAATGCTTATTGAAATATGTTATGGTTTGTCACACTTCATGCCATATTTACTGTCCTTTCGTTTGCTGTTTTGTCTAAACTTCTGATATTTTTTCTATATAAAGTGCTATTATACAATTTCTTTATAGAAAAAGTTATAATGAATAATTATATAATTTTGATATAATTAAAAATTATATATGTCTTACATATATTGCATTGTTGTGTCTATTCGATTATCCAATTTTTTATCTGTCGTTTAACAGACACCTCAGTTGATGGCTGTTGAACAAAGTTGGAATGGTCTTTAGAAGTAAAAACAATTTAAAACACTTAGTTTTAAAGTAAACTGCTTAATGCAGTAAAGAAATGCGTATGGCCATATTTGTACTACACAGGTATTTTTCACTTAATTAATTTACTTACTCATTTAAGGTAATATATGAGGGTATTTTACTTTTTTGCTAAAAGTGTGTTTGACCTATAATGTTGAAACAGAAAAATGACCATTATACCAATTCGTTTTCAGTTTAACTGTTTAACTGTATGATTTAGTTGTGAATTAATATGAAAGTAAAAAAAAATCGCATGTCATAACACAGAATTAGTTTCTGTAAACTGCATTCCACACAAAAATCATATGGAAAACTGAATACTACAAAAACAAACAGTATTATAAATATCTGACCTCTGACCCAATTCCCCAAAATTTAGCCTTAAAATAAAATATTGCAAAGTATAGCTAACAGAATTTATGCGTACCGTTTTTCAAAACAAATCCAACGATTGTTACGTAAAATTATATTTTACATGTGTTACAAAAATATTACATTTTTTTAATTTATCTGACAAGGGAAAATAATCTGTGAAAGATAAAGATGTCAACAAAGCGAGGTTTATGTCACCACTGCATGTGTCACACTGGTGGTGAGGTGGCCTGCTGCTCACTTGTCCAAAGTCTGCTTCTTTCACCTAGAATATTTGCTGCCACATTTCCGAGTGAACGCGCAGTGGTCCCGGTAAAGTGCTGAAGCGAGTGAAGGTTATCAGTGCAAGCTAAAGGCCATCGATTCATACATTTTGATATAACTCATGCCTGTCATACGACATGTGCTGCTTCTAAAGTTCGTTATTGAGTATCATTTGTTTAGTTGTATGTGGACTGAAATATGAACAGTAAAACAGTAGAATATAGGTTGCTTAGTGATATTTATACACAGAAAGAATATTTTTCATTAAAGACATCAATCTCTGAAAACAGTATTATTTGTGTTTTCACAAATACAACCAGCCATACACACATTTCATGATGCCTGCATATGTGCTGGAATCATATTCACTTGTGTGGAATTAACTGGACCCAAAAAGGTGAGAGAAATCGATATGTTACAAAAAGACAAGATTAAATGGAGACTTTGACCTTCCAACCAGGAAATCACAAATGACTAACCAAGTGCAAATAGGGCTCTAAGTGGAACCAGCCCAGCACCTGAGTGACACAGAACCCCACTCAGAACCCCGCTCACGTGACGACTGTGCCAGAGGATTCTGGGAGCCTCACATCCTGAGGCCTAAGTGATGTCTCTAGTAATTTCCATTACATTTAAAGATTCATCATCATTTTATTGCACGTCAGGTCCATAATTGCTAAAAGAAATGTTTGCAAAAGCTATACTGCTAGCTAGATCTATTGAGTATTTGTGTTTTCATTATGAAGTAAAAGACTAAAGAATGATATCTAATTTCCATTTCCCTAAAAAAACAGCAGGCCAACATTTGAGCTCATTATATTAAATGTACTCCATGTAGGGAGCAGAAATATAAAGTACAGGTATTTTATGGGACCTACTGAAATAAAGGTA